GGGATTGGATTAGCAGATAGGATAGGGTAAGACCCTATCCACTCAGAGAGTCCAGATCTAAATGTGATTCAGATATGGAAACCTCCTAATGAGATTAGGAGAAGGTTGATCTAATCTGCAGATAAGATAAGGGTTTACCCTTATCACTTAAAGGGAATTCTGATCCAAATATGATTTGGATCAACAACTCCTAAGGGGATTAGGAGCTGATCCCTTTAAAGTTATAAAAGGAGGAGGGAGCAGCAGCCTTTAGTAGATATACATTCACATCCTCTTCAGAGCTGAAATCACAGAAGGAAGAATTCAGCAACCCTGCGAAATTCTTTCTTGCCGCCTCCTTCCTGCCGCCGCCTCACCTGCCAGTTCGATCTCTAGTTAAGTGGGAGAAATCAAGCTCTGCTCACGTGCCGTCCTGCTAATTCTTGCGAAGGATTAGGTTCTTGGGAAGAACACTACTGATTCTGCTCCATCCTGCACTACGCCATCTTCAGTGGGAGCAATCTTTGGATCATTCCTTGGGCGTGAACACCTTCGTTGGGAGATATTATTTCTCCGTATCAGGTATATCCCTCTCCTACTATTTTGTTCAGATCTGGTTCGGTTTATGGTTCAAGATTGATCATTGAAAAATATAATTTTTCTAAAATAAGGAATACGATTCCCAGTAGGATGGAGAAAAATTTTTGAAATTCGCCCATTCTATTCCGCAAGATTCGGGCATCCATACGATGGATTTCTCATCCCTTCAAAGGAAACATCTACATGATTTCCAGAATGGGGACTTACTCAAATAACAAAACAACCCAATTATTAGTTTAATTGGGTAAATTATGTTATGTGAGAAATTATACTAAAAAAATTTCCACTAACACCCTAGAAGAGGATTGGACAACTTTGACATTATGTGAAGTTCAACAAGCTCTAAAACTCTTGAAGAAAAGTTAACTGATTATGATTTTTTTTTGCCTCGTGCAACAACTTGATTCCTACTGCACAAAACTAGTGAACTAGGTCATGATGCTTACAATAAAAATCTATCTAAAGGTGTTATGCATAACATCAGTGTTTTAAAAGGCATAGGAGGCATACGCTTGGAGGTGTGCCTCCAGGCGAGGCACCCCCAACACCTTGAGGCGTATGCCAGAGGTGTTGACACCTCTGAGGCGTACACCTCAGGTGCAAGAGGCGTATACCTCATACGTTTTTTTCATGAGGTGTGCTAGAGGCATATGCCTCATGCGCACTTCATGTAGAAAGACAAAAAAAAGTAAGAAAAAAAAAGGAAAGGAATGGAAAGAAAAAGGAAAGGAGAAAAAAGAAAGAAAGAGAAAATCTCAACTAGTGTTATACATCTTCATTTTTCTTAATATAAAATATTTTTATTAAAAATAAAGAAAAATGAGATTTTTCATCCTCTTCTTCCTCCTCTCCCCCCTCCTCTTAAGGAGGCTTACACCTCTTACATTCTGAACTACGCTTCACGCCTCTAGGTAGTGGAACGCCTCGTGTCACGCCTCCACATTACATTGCATAATATGTAGAGGTATAAAGAAACTGGTTTAATTCATTTGCCCCCAATGTAAAAGTGTGAATAATGACTGCACTAAATGACCATGTAATGTATAATAACAGAAGAAATAAATAACATAATGTAAGCTCTAAATCACAAGATCTAATCAGAAGAAAAATGAAGAGCATAGGAAGACAGCCTCAAAAAATTTGTTGGGAAAAAAGAAGTACCTCTCCCTGTAATACATATTTCTAAAATGTCCAGATAATTAGAAAATAAACAAAATAAGAAAACCAAAGTGATAACTACAAGCTTCCTGAACTATTTAAGAATGTGAAATAGTTTTACCATAAGATTTTAAGATGCAAAATGCTACCTGAAATCTGATCGACAGAGAAGACCTCTAATAAGCTGAAAATCAAACACATTCTGCACATGGCGAATTACATACAACTACTAAGAAAAATGAAACAGGAGGAGGCATTTAGTTATTGGAAAGAAATGTGGTTCTCATGAAATACCTCCATTAGTTCCAAATAGTCAGAAACTGGGTCGATTACTTCCACACTGAAGTTTCCATACGCTGTAACCCCTAAACAACATAGATCAACATCTGGAATTTCTGCCATTTTAATTTCAGAAATCTGCATATGGAAATTGACAATTAAAATTTAACAGGAAAAGATGTTGAATTATAAAGGTGAAAAGACAAGGCAAAAAGGCAATAGTGTTCACTGAAAGTGGAGTGGTATGCCATTAATTGAAACATGAAATCTAATATACCAATTTGATGCAGAATATAGTGTGCCAGGGTAAAAGAAAAAACAAGTAAATCAAGGCTAATTAACTTGGTTTACCGAGGTCAAGAGGCAACCATAGTAGCATAGCACCCAGAAGAAACTGGAATTCCATGTTCAGCTTTTGGAAGTAGTCACTAGTTAATCAGGTTAAAGTCATTTTAGCCATTCAATCAAAAATGTCATCCACCCAAAACAAGCTAGAGAAATATTTAGAACACCAACCAAATATAAGCCAAAAGGGACAGCTTTATTAGATACATCTGCTTCAGGTTGAAAACCAATTGACTGAACTCCTTTCCGTCCCATATCATCTAGGTTACCTAAATTTAAAGCCTAAATGATCAATTTGATTAGAAAACCCGCTTTCAACCCCAAACTATTTTAGTCAGTAACAATGCTTGGGATGTTATTGTAGTGGGGAAAAATACTAATCTCCTTGAGGCAGAGATGAGGACCTAAAATCTACTGCATATAATCAAAACTTTGTCAGAATTCTATCCCAGGTATTGGAGCTCCCCACAATAAACTGTTCTTGTCACTCATTCCCTTTGCTAAAGAATCTGCAATGTTATAGTTTAATAGAAGAATTGCATGTAAGAAAATTTTTAGCAACCAAGGCAAGAGTTTTATATTAATAAAAATTTTTAAGAGATTAAAGGGAAAAGAACAAGAGGCAGAGCCTTTTTCATTTTTGTAGAGAAGATGGGCCGAATGGCCCATAGATTGTTTATTCTTTCTTGTTTTTTTTTTTTTTATGTTTCTTTTCTGTAATGGGCCTTATTCTGGGCCCATYCTRTCWATATTAARTTCTTTGTWAATTCTTGCCCAACTAAGGGCCTCCTTGTAATTATTCAAATATATCTAAATAAAATAGTGTTAGGGTGCTGAGAGAGGGTAAGTTTGAAACTCTCTTCTCAGACCCTCATTGCTAAACTCTCAGCTCTCCTCTCTTCAGTTTTCTCATGGTATCAGAGCATACCTGAACTTCAATATCCTAGGGCTGGAAGCTTAACTCGTGTTGCCTGATTCTTGGAGGTCATTGGAAGTGCCCAAGACTCGAATCTCTTGGAGAAGTTGTTCGGTGGCCAGGAAGAATCAGAGAAAAGAAAAAAGGGGAAGGGGAACAGCTCAGTTCTGGTTTGAAACTCGAAACTGTAAGTTGTGCTCAGATTTCTGGGTTCAGTTTTCTTCTGGTTGTTCCGTATTGCTTTCGAATGTGTTTGGACTGTTGAAGTGTACGAAAACTCTGGTTGTTCTGTACTACCTTCGGCTGCCATTGAATCTGGTTTAACCCATTTCACTCCTTCTTGGACTGTTAAAACTTCCGAAACATCCTTGTAACAAGGCTGTGGAATGTTACTTATACTTGATTGTTTTGGGGGGGCTATACGAACTGTTCTTGAGGCCTGTTTTTTCTTTTTGACAGTGGGGTTGTCTCTATTGCCCACACTGTGTTTGTAAAAAGGGCTATTTCAGCAATATCAAGTGGTATTTACCTTGAAGTCCAGATTTGAAAAGGTACTTCGGCTGAGTGCCTAGAAGTTTTTGTTTACTTCTTGAAGGCTGAACTCAGTGTGTTGCCTTCTTGTGGTCGGCTGAACTCAGTGTGTTGCCTTCTTGTGGTCGGCTGAACTCTGTTATTGCTTGT